GGGGGGGGGGAGACGAGTGGCGGAAACAGACTCAGAGAAGCATCGAGAACCGGAAGGAGACCATGGGAGGAAGGTAATGAAAGCAGCAGCTGCGCGGTGGAGCCCCACGCCCCTCCCAACCTCGTCCCCTAGTTTCCTCACTTGGTATTGAGGAGGCGGATCTCGCGAGAACCTCGTGGCCGGCTAACCGGAGCTGCAGCTCTGCAATGACTTAAGGGCAGTTTTGTGCGCTCTTCCTGGCTGGGTCCCGCCCCCAAATCACAAATTATCGCGAGATGCCCTGGGACGCCGGCTCGAACAGGGACAGGTCGCTGCCGGGGAAGCACCGCCCCTGAATGCTTATGCTGGTGGGAGGGAGAGGAAATGGAATTCCCCCGACTGATCTGAGCGCGCGCCGACACATCCCTCGCTCACGCGCCCAATCAGGAATGTGCGGTGGGAGGTACCAGGGATTAACTAGTAGATACCTTTAGTCAAGGTTGAGCAGAGTTTCTGAGGTTTCCGGTGGAACAGGTGAATGGTATTTACTTCCCCTGCTCTGGTGGGCTGGCTACCCAGCGAGAGGAGGCGCCTAGCAAAATAGAAACTGTAATTTAAAATAGACCCAGGCCGACAGCTGATAGCTTTCCCCGGTGCCGAAATTAGTGCATTTCTAACCCCAGGGGCTCAATACTGAGAAGAACAGGCCAGCTCGAATTCCAGAGTTACAGCAGCTTCGAAATCCTAATTATGAATTGAGTAGAGAGGGGAGGGTTAGGGGCGGGCCATTTCTACAGTACATCGCCACCACACGGCAAGGTTTAGATGTGAGAACAGGCTCAAATACCCCCCCCCCCCTTTTCTCTTGCCATGTTTCAGTTTTTGAGCCAGAAAGTGGTGAAGCTCCAAGAAATCAGGTAGCGTTTTGGTTTAGAAAACCTTAATACATAACTGAAATATCGGCGAAAGGCGGGGGTGTGCAGATAGCAGTGGCCTATTCTGCTGGGTGTAAGGTACGAGTATTTTTGCTTTTCAGTGTATCTTTCGGGCAAAAACTAGTAGGACCTTAACTTTTTATCTGGGAATATAATTTAGGTGTAGAGCACTTGCTTACCGAGTTACGAATCTCTTGAATTTAAGCCCCAGAACCCTCCAAAATTATATATATATAAAAGTTGGCTGCTTGAAGCTTTTTAACACTCCTCAATGATCCTTTTACAAAAGGATTACATAGAAAAATACACCTGTTTTTAAAATATACTTGATTTAGAAAAACTATTGCAGAAAGTAATAAAAATTTCACAGGTTAGTGATAAATGGTCTAACATACTGTTCAAGTGAACATATAGTGAACTAGAGCAATTAAAGAGTGTTTCTCAAACTAATGTCAATAGAAGTCACCTGGAGTTTTGTTCAAAATGCGGATTTTGATTTAGTAGTAGGGGCTGGAGCCTGAGATTATGCATTTTAAACAAACTCCCAGGTGATGCGGATTCCTTCCCCACCCCCTTACCCGGATTTGAACTATTCTGTAAGTGCCCCAGTCATGGCCTACTGGATACCTCTGTCCCTTTCCTCTGTTCCTTCTTGAGTAATCTTTATTGTTCTCTCCTCTAGCTAGCCAATTCATGAGGTTAGGCATGAGGGTGAAGGGAGAAACTTAGGTTCTAAGTTCTTGCTGGTTGCTTCCTTATGTATGATATAGGTCTGGTTACTAATCTTCTATTTCTTCACCGCTAAACTAGATGTAATACTAACTATCCTTTCACGTGGAATTATTGTGTGGTTCAGATGTCATAAAGTTGTGAAAGGACCCTGAAGACTTCACAGTGTTGTATACATGTTAAGTTATTAAAGTAAATATTCAGGTATTAACTGGCCATTTTGTGAAATAAATGTATAATAGTAATAATAGGTATGGGTAAAATTTATGCAACTTTTACCAGGTATTGTGTTTATTAGCTCCCCTTTACAAATGAAGAAACTGAAGCATAGATTAAGTTTCTATCCTAAGTGATAGGAGGAGAATTTGAATTCATATGCTTAATTTAAGAATATTTCATAGAGTAACATGTTTTATATTTCTACTTTAAATGTCATCTGAATCTAACTTATTTCTCCTATTTCATTTTTTTAGAAGCCAGGGTACAAGAATAGTAGGAAACATTCCCATTTACCTAAGGGGAAGTCATAATATCCAGGGAGGTCCAAGAAGAAAAGCCCCAGAGAAACCAATTTGAGTTACCTTAATCTAAACAAGCTTCAGTATAAAGGTATGATGGAACATTACTGCTGTGGATTAACAGAGCACAATAGACTGGAAAAATTTGAGGTCAGAGTTCTTAACTTTTTTGTGCCTCAAACCACTTTGACAATCTGATAAAACTACCCCCATTTTCAGAATAATGTTTTATACGTGTATAAAATAAAATTCATTGTATTATATATAAAGAAAAACATGTGAAATACAGTTATCAAAAAATTAAGGAAAAACAAACTGTGAACATGTGCTTTATTTAAAGTAAACATATGCTTTATTAACAGTAAGGAAGATCTAGTGGGGGGGGGGTCTGATGAAGACCAAAGTTTTGAAATAATAACTTAAATGACATTTCCAGAGCTTGCAAGAATTGTAATGTAATATAAAGTATCTGAACTATCTATTGGTAATACAAAAGTAGGTACAGCTAATATTATTGTTGAAGGAATACAAAATTTTTAGGCATAAGTAAAAGTGTAATTTTTTTTCTCACCCAAGCTCACACATGCCCTCATTCCCTCATTTTTATCCATGAACTGCATGTTTAAAAAGCTTAGGTTAAGTCTTGAAATCAGATTTGTGAAATTTTAGCGTACAATTCTAATTGATATTCCTAACTATAATGATTCATCAGGAAAAGTTTAATTACAACCAGTATACTTTAAGAAGGTATTGAAGTGTGTAATATATTGAGGCAACAGTTTTATCGAATTTGTTGATTTTTCCCTCTATTTTGGCATAACTATGAAGGTACTCTATGGAAAATTGAAGTATTCAGAATGATTCATTTTCCAAGCATTCTGGTTGTTTTAGGTTTTATTATATTCACATTCATTAATTACATGCCTTTGTAGATAAGGTGTGAAAGAATTACAAAATGAAAATCAAGCTTGAAAGAAATTCAGATACTGTATGTTTAAGTTTTTAAATAGGTTTTAACAATTGTTGAAGTACTTATTATGTGCTGGCTCATTTAATTCATTGTCTCATCATCCCTGATATACAGATGAAAACTCAGGGCTATACAACTAGTAAAGAGCAGAGCTAGATTTTAAACTGAAGTAGTGGGACCTTAAAGCCTACACTCTTAAGCCTTAAGCTGTTTGTTTTTAGCTCTTCAGTTATTAGTCAATATTAAATTTCCCTTTAGTGCAAAACATACCTGCTTGTTACCTCAAATTGTTAATGTTCTTACTATTGCAGGTAAAATTCTCCCAGTGACTAAAAGGGATTTTCCAAAACCTACTTTTTTAATATTAATTATATCCAATTCTTCCATTAAATAAGTAGAATACTAGTTAGGGCTGGAAAATAGATTTTGTTCTACAGAAATTTTTATTGTAATGGAGTTTTGCTAAAACGATGAAATCTGCTGGGCCTGGTGGTGCACACCTGCAATCCCAGCGGCTTGGAAGGCTGAGGCAGGAGGATCATGAGTTCAAAGCCAGCTTCAGCAGCTTCATGAGGCCCTAAGCAACTCAGCAAAGACCCTGTCTTTAAATAAAATACAAAAGAGGCTGGGGATGCGCCTCAATGGTTAAGAGCCTCCTGGGTTCAATCCCCAGTAAAAACAAAAAAAACAAAAACAAAAACACCTCATCAAATCTGCCCATGCCTTTTCCTGTTCTCCAAATGTACTTTCACATTTGCAATCTAAACTTTTATGTTTTGCATAACATACATATGTGATGCTGTTGTAAAATGTGTATATACATCTGAAGTAACATTGTGTGTGTGTGTATATTTTCCCCCAGTACTGATTATTAAACCCAGGGCCTTACAAATGCTTGGAAAGCATTTTACCACTGAACTACATCTCCACCCTTTTTTCTTTTTTTAAAAATATTTTTAGTCATACATGGACACAATATTTTTATTTTGTTTATCCATTTTTATGTGGTGCTGAGGATTGAACCCAGTGCCTCACATGTGCAAGACAAGCGCTCTGCCACAGAGCCACAACCCCAGCCTATCCACCCTTTTTAATTTTAACACAGTCTCACCAAGTTGCCCAGGCTGAATTTGAATCTGCCTCAGCTTCCTGAGTTGCTGGGATTACAGGCATGTGCAACTGAATGCTGCTTCCCAGCAGCTTTTTGATGGCTTATGATAGAGCAGGCTATGATTAGCTCAAATTTTTAAATAGTTCACATATCTAGTGATGTAGATAACCCACTTTACAGTTGCAAATAAAAATATTTTCATTATTTGATTTATTTGAATTATAAGGGTAGAAATGGGTCTATCTGAAAAAAAAGACTCATGTTTTTATCTTGAAATCTGGAATATGCTAAAAGTTTTTGTTTTAAATACTGAAAGAAACATTTATATTCAGAAATCTGTGAAGTTAAAAAGTATTGAAAAGACAACTTAAAAGCAGTCCTCTCTAAGAATATTAAATTGAAGTCTGATAAACTTTCTAATTATAATAGATCAGAT